TTTTAACGCCAAAACAGAGAAATTAAGTTTTTTCACCAAAACCAAAAAAATTCATCTTCCTGCAAAAACAAAAAAATTGTATTTTCCCATCAAAACTGAAAAATTCATTTTCCTGCAAAACCCTAGAAATCGTCTATTCCCGTCAAAAAATTATTTTTCTCGTCAAACCAATAATCACGCCTTCCTACCAAAATCGATCAACTATAATTTCCCGCGAAAACTAAAATTTGTATTATCTCCTAAGAAATTGCGTTTCTCGCTAAAACTAAGAAATCTCATTTCTCTGCGAAAACCAAAAAATCACATTATATGTCAAAAACTTAAAATTTATATTTTTCATCAAAACCGAGAAATTTTTTATTCCCACCAAAATTAAGAAATTTTGTTTTTCCATCAAACCGAGAAATTGCATTTTCCACGAAAACTGTCAAACTACAATTTCCCGCGAAAACTAAAAAATCACATTTTCCTGCAAAAATTAAGAAATCACATTATCCATCAAAAGCCAAAAATTTGCATTTTCTATCAAAATCGAGAAATCGTATTTTTTCATCAAAATTGAAAAGTTGCATTTCCCTCGCATTTTTAGTCAAAACTAAGATATTTTTTTCGCATTAAAATCAAAAAAAAAATTTCACCAAAACCAAAAAATCACACTTTTCCGTTCAACGCGAGAATTCATTTTTTCCGCCATTACCGAGAAATTATGTTTTCTTACCAAAATTGAAAACCACATTTTTCTACTGAAACCAATAAATTCTCTATTCCCGCAAAACTCAAGAAAATTTGTTCTCGGTAACCACTAAAAATGCGAATCTCCAAGCTGTGGTGGTCTGAGCTTCTCCTCATTTGCTTTCGATTTCTATTTTTTTAAAACTTTGAGCTTTTTAATGGGTTAGTAAAATAGTAAACTGATTTTATTAGTGTGTTAATGAGATGTATTATTGTTATGTTTTTATTGATTCAAATTTTTGTTGATGTGTGAGTTTCTTATAACATAACATTTTTTGTGTTATTGTTATAGAAGCATAATTGATGATGAGTCTACACTTTCTTCAATCATATATGTCTTTATCAAGCAAACACATAGTTATAAATTTTAATTTTTTTTGCTGTTATTTATTATTTGAATTTTGGTTTGGCAAAATATAAAACAAATATTTAATTTTTTATTTGTTGTTATTTATTATTTGGATTTGGGAATGGTAAAAATAAAACAATATTTTTATTTACTGTTATTTATTATTTGGACTTGGGTTTGGCAAAAATATAAAATAAAGAAAATTATTTAGATTTTTAATGAGTTTAAGCTAAAAATAATAAAATTTAGTAGATGATGTGTATTAATAAAATGTTTTGATTGATATTTTTTTTTTGCTGAGGTGTCATGTTTATAAAGCTCCAAAATGTTGAAGTGTCATCTCTATGAGAGATATTAGTGTTATTGTTGTATTGATTATTAAATGTATTACAGGTTTACCAGTTCAATCGGTATGATAAATACGGATATCAAAAACAGCCACAAAATAAAATCATATCTTAACAGATTATATTACAATTAGCATATAATTTGTTAATCTTTTGTATAGATTCGACTATATTGTCCAATATATAACGATGTACAATGTACTCCATACAATCATTCTTCCTATATAGAGAGATGGTTGTAGTTTAGTTTTGTTGGTTTTGGTTTATAGAGATGGTTGTAGTTAGGGGCGGATCCACCTTGTGAGTTTTGGGGCACGTGCCCCACACTACCTTTAATAAATTATCTATAGAAAAATATTTTATTTATAAAATTCAGATCATTTGGTTTGTAAAACTTCATTTTTTCTTTCCACTTCTTTTTAAGTGTCTTTTTGTATTTTTTTTTTTCTAAACACTTAATTTTATCTGTTTATCACTTTTTTATAAGTGTTTGTTATTAATTTTTAAGTGTTTTATTTTATTTTCTGATTTTTTTTATCTAAGATTTTCTTTCTTTTATATAAATTAATAATTTCTTTTTATATCTTTCTAGTTTTTAATTTTGTTACAAATAAGACCTAAAACTCCATAATTAATGTAAAGTTTTTGTATGATAGTAATATATTTTTATTGATAAAATTATATTTAAATTTACATTTTATATTATGTCCCATATAAAATTTGTTTTTGGATCCGCCCCTGGTTGTAGTTTAGTTTTGTTGGTTTTGGCTTGTGGACATATAACATATTCACTTGGTCAATTATTTAGAAGATTGTGATCTTTGGTCGCCAATAGGATTATATAGGAGAGATGAGGGAGTGTGGAAGCCACACGTGAAGCAACGGTGGAGGATAATTTGGTTTGGCCCGAACCGGGGAAGTGTCTTTCTCATCTTTTTGTTTCTTAGACATCGTGAGAAGTCAATACGTAACGTCCTGAAAATTATAAAAGCTAGAAAAGCCACTAGCTATTTTTTAATTAATATTAAATTATCCACCCTAGAAATGTAGGTAGTTTTTTTTGCAGATTTTTAGTTTGGATATTACAAAATGATACTTTGTTTCATTATTTACCATCTTACTTTTATAATAAAAAACTAAATTTGTCTTGAAATGTTTTATAAGGTAAATCAATTGTCATTTGACTCATTTTCCTCTTGACCAAAACAAAAAAAAATGAAGATAAATTAGTCATTTCTCTCAAAGAATTGTCGAATGGTAATCTGGATATAAGATAATCACAAATTTCTTTCAAGCATTTATAAAATTCAAATTCAAAGAGTGAAAATAAACCACAATTGTGGACAATAAAAACCCCATAATTGTTAAATATAGTGTAGACTGAGCGACTAAATATAATTAATACTTTATTGTGATCATAGTCTTTGTATTTAGTGAAATTCATCTATAAACAGATTTTATATAAGATTTAAAAGGTATATATACAAATATATTGTGTTTAAAAACATGTATATATAAACATATATATGTATATATATACATTTACAAATATAACATATTTTAAATGGTTTACCGATAAGAATTTTCTTAATTTTTAAAATTTAAATCTAGATCATTACCAATTTTTTGGAGAACTCTTTTTTTTTCATAATGGCAAATTTGTTTTTTTTTATTGAAAAAGGGCCTTATAACGGCAATTTTGCAATTTAGATTTTGGGATCAATGAATTGCAAATACATCCACTTTTTTTGTTTCCATTTAATCACACGTCTATATATCTTTTATCTCACCAAATTAATTTCTTTTTCTAAAAAATATAATTATAAGTTGCTTATGTGAAAGCCAAAAAAATGTAATTGTAAACTACTAAAAAAGACATTTTATTACTTAGTAAGCAAAATATTCAAGTAGATATAATTTTATAGAATTTGTTAACCGCTAAAATCCCAGATATACCTTCAATAGCTAGGATATTCACTGCTGTACTACTGTTCGACAACTGCCATGTCCTTTTCTGGCGGAGGTTCTTAATTAATTTTTCTTTTTACTTATACATTTTTTGTTTGATCGGTCCTTCGCTAAATATGTCACCTCGGTGTAAATTGAGAGCGATTGTGCCAATAATCTATGAACAGAAATATAAATTAGAAAAAAATAACGTTGAAGTGTTGACAAAAAAAAACATGTTAGCGATAATAATTTGTTTCATGTCCTTAGCATACCGCTAAAGAACGCCTATGGCAAATAACTAATTAATAATAATATTTTGTTAATGTAAAGTCATGCCATTCATATAAGGCTTCATAATTTCAGACGAGTAGATATTATACAACTTTTAATGAAAACGTTGCTTTATAATGGGCATATCAAACTTAACTCTTCTCTAATCGGTCACCGTAATAATGATCAATGATAAAATTAATTACCATACAAAATTAGAGATGTTGAAGTATGATGAAAACGATATTTTATTTTATCTGAAACTAACATTTAAATATTTAGTACAGTGTTGTGCTGTCCACTGAAATTCAAATATTGTATACTCCAATATAATAATGTTTTTTTACTTTTTTCTAATAGACGTAAAAAAAAACAAAAATAATATTCTTTATTTATTACCATTCGAATATAAAACAAATTACCGCTAAAACTTGTTTCCAAGTCAAAAGCCGTCGCCCATCAAGAAAAATGGAGAAAAAATGAGAATAGAAAAATTAAAGAAAATTAGCTATATAACCATATAAATATCTAAAATTTAGAAAGTAACTATACTAAAATAGATATTATTATATTTTTTATATATTTTATAATATATATCAAAAACCTTTTAGTTTAAATCAACAAATAAATTACATTATTATACTATACTGAATTAATGTAGTATGCTATTAATAGTTGTATAAATATATTATTTTATACTGTATTATATTATTATTATGAGAATTAACTCGATTGTATGAGTATCTACTAGCTCCTCTTCCTTACCAATATCATTGTCTTCTGAATTCAATTCACCTTCATATAAGACATTTTCCAACGTAAATTCCACATCTATAGATACCCGAAAAGTAAACTGATTATAATATTTCAAATGAAGTATACTACTATACTATACTCAGTTAGTGTAGTATATTATTAAGTAATATTTGTAGTACACTATTATATTATTTATTTATTTTAGCTTAATGATCGATCAATACTTTTTCATTTAAAATAGAAGAATTTTTTAATCTTTTTTCTGTGGATCATAATTATTTTTCATATTTTTTAAATAATATAATTATATTTTTGAATTATTTTATTAATATGATTAGATTGCAAATTAATCCAAAAATCAATAGGGAGAAAGTGAATCATCAAACATTAATTGAAATTTAAAATTGATCTCAGAGTTTCAACTTTCAATTAAGAAAAACAAAAAACAAAAAAGAGAAAATCGGGGAAGTGTCTGTTTCCTCCTCACAACAGATGATCAGAAGAAACTTGACCCTTTGAATGGCTCAAGAGCTCATCTCTTCTCTCTACAAAAATGGCCGCACGTCTTCAACATTCTTCCACTTCCTTCTTCCGCCATGACTTCCTCTTCTACCTCTCTCTCTCTCCGTTTCACAGCACCTCTCCCTTCATCAAAACCCAGAAGATCCGTCATCGTCGCTGCTCAGACCACCGTTCCGGCGGAATCCACCGCTTCTCCTTCCGTAGACGCGGATCGGCTCGAGCCGAGAGTCGAATTGAGAGATGGGTTCTTCATTCTCAAGGAGAAGTTTCGAAAAGGGATCAATCCTCAGGAGAAGGTTAAGATCGAGAGAGAGCCGATGAAGCTGTTCATGGAGAATGGGATTGAAGAGCTCGCGAAGAAATCTATGGAAGAGATCGATAGCGAAAAGTCTTCAAAAGAAGATATTGATGTTAGACTCAAGTGGCTTGGTTTGTTCCATCGCAGGAAGCATCAGTGTATGCTTGATTCTTCTTCTCAATCCTGTTTCGAACTCTTTTGTGATTGGAATTAAGAAAAAAAGTGAAGATCTTTCTTCTAGTTAGTGACGAAATTAGTGAAATCTAATCTCTTGATTCGTGTTCTTCTCTACCCTCTTTCTAATTTTGTGTGTTTAGTTAGTGAAATCTATGCTTCTCTTGATTAGGATTGTAAAGGTTTCTTCTTGACTCTTTGTTGTTGCTGTTGCTGTTGCAGATGGTAAGTTTATGATGAGGCTTAAGTTACCAAATGGTGTGACCACAAGTGCACAGACTCGGTACTTAGCGAGTGTGATCAGGAAGTATGGTGAAGATGGATGTGCAGATATAACAACAAGACAGAACTGGCAGATCCGTGGTGTTGTGTTACCTGATGTGCCTGAGATCTTGAAAGGTCTAGCTTCTGTTGGGTTAACGAGTCTCCAGAGTGGGATGGATAATGTGAGGAACCCTGTTGGGAATCCTTTAGCTGGGATTGACCCGAAAGAGATCGTCGACACAAGACCTTACACGAACCTCCTTTCGCAGTTTATCACTGCGAATTCCCGTGGAAACCCCGATTTCACTAACTTGTAAGATCACATTTTGGTCGTTGATGTTAAGAGTTATGTTGGTGAGTGAATGAATATGCTAAAGAGAGTTTTTGTTTGGTTTGTTGCAGGCCGAGGAAGTGGAATGTGTGTGTGATAGGGACTCATGATCTCTATGAGCATCCACACATCAATGATCTAGCTTACATGCCTGCGACTAAAGATGGCAGGTTTGGATTTAACTTGCTTGTGGGAGGTTTCTTTAGTCCCAAAAGATGTGAAGAAGCTATTCCTCTCGATGCTTGGGTTCCCGCTGATGATGTTCTTCCGCTATGCAAAGCTGTTCTTGAAGCCTACAGAGATCTCGGAACTCGAGGAAACCGACAGAAAACAAGAATGATGTGGCTCATCGACGAACTTGTAAGTAGAATGCTTGCTTTAGAAAGTTAGGTAGTGTTTGTATTGAAGTTGTTAATTTTTGACTTTGTTTGTGAACAATGTAAAAGGGCGTTGAAGGATTCAGAGCTGAAGTAGAGAAGAGAATGCCAAATGGTAAACTCGAGAGAGGATCTTCAGAGGATCTTGTGAATAAACAATGGGAGAGGAGAGACTATTTCGGAGTCCACCCACAGAAACAAGAAGGTCTTAGCTTCGTGGGCCTTCATGTTCCGGTAGGTAGACTACAAGCTGATGACATGGACGAGCTTGCGCGGTTAGCTGACACATACGGCTCAGGGGAGCTTAGACTCACTGTGGAGCAAAACATCATCATACCGAATGTAGAAACCTCAAAAACCGAAGCTTTGCTTCAAGAACCGTTTCTCAAGAACCGGTTCTCTCCCGAGCCATCGATCTTGATGAAAGGTTTAGTCGCTTGTACCGGGAACCAGTTCTGCGGTCAAGCGATAATTGAAACCAAGCAAAGAGCTTTGAAAGTAGCAGAAGAAGTTGAGAGACTTGTGGCTGTGACTAAGCCTGTGAGGATGCATTGGACAGGATGTCCCAACACTTGTGGACAGGTACAAGTGGCGGATATTGGATTCATGGGATGCTTGACACGTGGCGAGAATGGGAAGCCTGTGGAGGGTGCTGATGTGTACGTTGGAGGAAGAATAGGGAGTGACTCACATTTGGGAGAGGTTTATAAGAAAGGTGTTCGTGTTACGGATTTGGTTCCATTGGTGGCTGAGATTCTTGTTAAAGAGTTTGGTGCTGTGCCTAGAGTGAGAGAAGAGAATGAAGATTGATATTGATTGATTCAAGATATTTGGATTTATAATAAGTTGAGAGATCTATAATGGTTCTCTCTGATTCTCTGGTTTCAGACTTTGATACTTGATACTTCGTGTTTTTATGCCCATACTTTGGGTTTTGTAGCACTTGTTGTTGTTGTAACTTGTAACTTTGTGTTCTTGTTGTTTTGTATTATCTTGTTTTTATAATTAATGTAGTTATACAGTAGTTCATTCTTTCTTTGTCATCAACTTTATAAAAATGAAAAGTTATAATTTTTGTCTTTGATTCAAGTAAAGCATTTATATTTCTTTTAAAACATGGTTTATCTAAAGATATACATACATATATATATATATATATATGTTAACAAATTATCTTAAGATATTTATATGAAAGAAACGTTTATAAAATCTAAACAAAAGTGAAATCAAAATAAAAAAAATCGTTGGTATTTAGTAGGGCATTTTGGATTAATAATTTGAAATGATTTCATTTTTTTTTCAAATCTAGTATTTGAAAAAGTTACTTAAAATCCAGGTTATTAGATTAGTCATTTATATAAATTTATTAAAATTTTGTTTTATTGAAAAATTGAGATTTTATTAATGAATTATTTTTTTAAATAATTTAGGATGATTTGTGAGATAATTTAGAGTTAAGATCCAATAAATTAAAATATCACCTTAAATGATAGTATTTGAAAGAATTTAGAAGGCAAGATTTGTTTAAATCATTTTAAAACTTTAAATTCATTAAAATCTTCATAGATTTGGATTTATCCAAACTACTAATCCAATATACATTTCTTAATTTTATACTAGCCAATTAAAAAATCGATTAACTAATTCTATCTAATTGAACTTTTGGAAAATGAAAAGAGGATGGAGCCTAGGGTTTTGAGAGCTGAAGAGCACGGTGCATCGCTGGATCAGAATTTTGGGCGATTAAAGTGAGGAGGACATCCAAGGGGGTATGCCAGTTCCAGAGAGCTCTTGGACGATGCTTTCATCACCATGAGGATGAGTGTGGAATTTCCAAACAGGAGGATGAAGAGCCGGTTATTACGATCAAAAGAGAGGTTCTAGAGGCGATGAACGTGATGTGGAAGCAATGCATGATTGTCAAAGTGCTTGGGAGGAACGTGGCTATACATGCTTTGAGCAAGAAGCTAAGAGAGTTGTGGAAACCTAAGGAAGCGATGTACGTGATAGATCTGCCTTGACAGTTTTTCATGGTCCGGTTTGAATTGGAGGAGAATATTTGGCGACGCTGACATGAGGACTGTGGTGAGCGTTTGGAGCGTGGTCTCCTGATTTTGATCCGCTGAGAGATGAGATTGTGACATAAAGCTATTCTTTTGGAGATAGTTCGGGGGTTAGGTAATCCAGTTTGTGTTGATTTAAGAACTCTGAACTTTGAAAGAGCAAGATTTGCTAAAGTTTGTGTGGAAGTGAACTTGCAAAATCTCTAAAAAGGCATAATGTTAATCAGCAGCGACCAATATTTTGTGTCATATGAAGGATTCATGAACATCTGTTCAGCTTGCGGAATGTACGGGCACTTGGTTCACTCATGCCCTAAGGGAAATTTGGAGAGGGTGGTGAGTGAGGAACAGCAATCTGGTACCGAGGGTTCACGAGATCATATGCAGTTATAGAATGGGTTTACTATGGCACAGAGGCCACATAAAGGGATGGAATCGCCGCCGAGCCAAGTCGTGTTTGTCGCCGGAGGATCGAGTGGGGGATCTGAACGAAATCTTCGGAAAATCACGCGGACCAAGAATCTCGAGAATATTGCGATATTAAACCGTTTTGGAAACTTGGAGGTTGATACAAATCCAATTGATTCAAGGGGAGTAACAGATTCAGTTGAGAGAAAAAAGGAGAATGAAGATATTGTGATGAATACAAAAAAAAGAAAGAGTATTGGCTAAGTAAAAGAAAATCTAAACTTATGCAGGATGAAGAAAAATAAAATTAGGGATAAAGATTGGCTGTATGACAAACAGGCTGGAGTTAAGAAGCCCATGGAGGTCAGTCGCCAGAAGCCCAAACAGTATGTGAACAAACCCATGAGGGGGTTCATGTTTGGACTGACGAGAGAGGAAATTGGTTTATCGGAGTCAGGCAAGAGACTCAGGATGGAGAAAGAGAGTACCGGACGGCCTGGTGGGGTTTTCACCGGTAATTACTGTGGGAGGGGAGGAGCCGGTGCAGACTCGCGAGTCCCTTGTGATTTTATTGATACAAATTTCCAAGATTCTGATGAATTGCTTATTCTGGAATTGCCGGGGGCGAATAAAGCCAATTTTCGGAGATCTATTTGATACTTACTGAAGAAGTTCAAGACCGATGTTCTCGCACTCTTCGAAACATATGCGGCATGGAGATCAAGCAAGGCACATATGTCAAGAGTTAGGCTTTGATAACTCGTTTCGAGTGGATGCGGTTAGCCAAAGTGGCAGGTTGTGGCTTCTCTGGAGATCATAAGTTGGAGTTCTAAACATTATAGAGGCCTCAGACCAGTTTATTTATGCTCAGGAGGGAACTTGATCAGATAGCATCCACCTGATTGTAATATATGCAGCTCCGACGGTAAGTCGTTGATGTGGTTTGTGGGAGGAACTTAAGAGGGTAATCCAAAATGTGGGGGACTCCTTGATAATTGGAGGTGTGCCAGACTGGATGAGCGGACAGGAGGGATTAGTAGGCTATCACCAGATGCGTTTGGGGCATGGATGAGTGAATTAGCCTTGATAGATATGGGGTTCAAAGGGAGTAAATTCACATGGAAACAAGGACGTGTAGAGAATACTTACATAGCTAAGAGACTAGACAAGGTATTCTGTTGCGTGCAGTTGCGTTAAAAATAACAGGAGGCCTCGGTCCCTCATTTACTTTTCCTGTCATCAGACCATGCACCTCTGTACGTGCAACTTATGCCTGAAGTGAGGAGTAATCCTCGAAGACATCCCTTTTGTTTTGAGGCTGCTTGGTTGAAGCATAGCGGATTCAAAGCAATGCTCTCATCGACTTGGAATGGGGGACTCACCACGTCGGAGGCATTGAAGGAGTTGCAAGTCAAACTCAAATAGAGGATGCGAAGAGGCTGAAGGAGAAATTGGTTAAGGATATCCAAGCACTACAGGAGGAACTAGACATTCATCAAACCGATGAGCTATTGGTTAGAGACGCTGGACGGTTGAAAGAATTTGATGCAGTTCTTGAGCAGGAAGAGGTTCTTTAGTACCAGAAGTCAAGAGAGAAGTGGATAGTGCTTGGGGACAGCAACACTAAGTACTATCATATGTCAACTATTGTTAGAAGGAGGCAGAACAGTACCTAGACATGCCAATCTTACAGAAGAGAATCAACAAAGAAACTTTTGGGGAGGTCCTTGAGAAGGTTTCTTCAAGGCTTGCTGGTTGGAAAGGGAGATTCTTGAGCTTTACAGGTAGAATAACACTCACCAAGTCAGTTTTTTCTTCGATCCATGTCCATACTATGAGTACAATATCCTTACTAAAGTCAATCCCCAAAAAGTTGGATAGAATCTTGAGATCCTTCATATGGGGAAGCACTACGGGATAGAGGAAACAGCACCTTCTTTCATGGAAAAAGGTTTGTAGACTAAAGGGAGAAGGCAGGTTAGGTATTCGACTGGCACAATACATAAATAAAGATTTGCTTGCGAAACTTGGGTGGGCGTGTCTTACATGATCAAACAAGTTTATGGGCACAGCTGCTATGAAGCAAGTATCGAGTTAAAAGCATACATGATGCACTTGGATGCTAGTCAAGAGCAATTGGTCGTCGACATGGAGGAGTGTAGGGATAAGAATAAGAGAGGTAGTGGTACCAGGGATGAGCTGGGTACTTGGAGATGGCCGTAAAATTCGTTTCTGGAGAGACAAATAGCTCTTAAATGTACAACTTACAGAGTTGGCAGTGCGGGACATACCAGTGGAGATGGTTGATCTCGGTGTCCGTGATATATGGAGGAATTGGTCTAGTTAGCTTTTCCCGCAGCTAGAGCCATATCTCTCGATGAACACTCATTTACGACTAACAACAGACAGAGAAGGCATTTAAGCGACACGAGCATTTGTCAGGTTTGTAAAAGAGCTGAAGAATTTATCATTCATGTTTTGCGCGACTGTCCGGCAATAGAGGGTATCTGGATTCAGTTGGTCCCCCTGGGTATATGATGTATGTTCTTTGCACAATCCTCATTGGAATGGATGTCTGCAAATCTGTTTGAAAATACAGAAGTACAAGGTACGGCTTGGTCCACTTTGTTTGCAATAACTTTATGGTGGGGTTGGAAATAGCATTGTGGGAATGTGTTTCGAGAGACAAGAAGATACCGTGACCGAGTACGTTTTATTCGGGACAAGGCAAAGGAGATTTCGCAGGCTCACTCTCTTGTAGGAGAAAACAGGAATGTAAGAGAGAGAATAGAGAGGCAGATTTTGTGGTCGCCACCAACGAGAAATTGGATGAAGTTGAACACTGACAGAGCTTCGCATGGTAATCCTGGTATGGCTACGACATGAGGAATTTCGAGAGATGCAAGGAGAAACTGGTGCGGCGGTTTTTCTCTCAATATTAGGATATGCTCAGCTCCATTAGCAGAACTATGGGGTGTGTGCTACAGCCTCTACATAGCCTGGAATTGTTAGGTTTTGCAGTTAGAGATAGAAGTAGATTCTGAGATAGTAGTGAGGTTTTTAAAGAAGGGGATCAATGACTCGCATCTTCTGTCCTTCCTAGCATGGCTGTGCTATGGTTTTTTTATCAAGGGACTGGTTAATCCGAATAGAAGTAGAAGCTAATTGTCTTCTTAGCTTTAATTTCTTTGCCGCAGTTCCTGATAGTGTGTGTGTCAATCATGTCGGATGATACTACAGGGGTTGTCCGGGCTAGACATGTACATTTGTAGCTTTGTTTTGTCTACTTTTGAATAATACGAGGGAGACAATTGTCTCCTGAATGAGACCAAAAAAAGA